GTGTATGCGACCTTTTATTTTTTTTATTCTTTCCTCTCCGAGACGACGATAATGCGCGAGGTTGATCCATACAAGGTAACGAGTAAGGCAGGACCGGCTACACCCCGTCGTCATCATCGCCGCCATCGCCGTCGCCGTCGCCAATCACTTCTCGCTTGCTCTCGATCGCGAGGACAACATAAAACGTCGATGTCACACGTTGGATATAAGGACGTTTGACTCAGCCATGATAACTCCTGTTCCTCGCTGTAATAGATTGGCATCACTCGAAGGAACTCGATGCTTTTACACGACATTGTCGCGTTATCGTTGCAATAACACTTGACGTTGTGAAATGTACGAGACATTTAATTTTGCCTGTGCAGAGTTCATACATAATTTGATGTTTCGCGATGGATACTACAGATTTCTGTGACGTCGTTTTTAAACTGAATACTGTCCACGAGATAATTAAAATAGCATTGACGTTCTTTTCTGCTGAAGTTATATTTTATAGTTACACTTACAAAGTCTATAAATATGTAACGATAAAATATAATTTATTATGTATAGATTATCATTTATAAAAGAGATAGATCATCATATTTATTCACTCTAAAAAATATCGATGTGAGTTTAACATGTTAAACACTATAAAATGTTTTAAAGATGTCCAAAGAACGTCTTATATAAAGACATTCTCAGGATGTCTCTCACATCAAGTGTGATACGTGGAAGTGTTATAATTATACATCTAATGATGTATTACATGTATAATGCATACAAATATATATTTATAAATATCGTGGAATGTATAATGTTTTGCAAAGTCGGTTTATGTACAAGAGATTATTGTACAAGCAGAATGGTGAAAAGATTAATTACATTACGGAAGCTTGAGACAGTAATGGTTATACACATAGAATACTTTGCTTGTTCATTAATTAAATCCGCCAGGTTGCCGCGGGCGTGTATCCGTGAGTCACTTATCGACTTTCTTCTACGACAAGGGAGGATAATCGGAGTGAGTCTAAGGCGTCTACTGGATAAGGGTGGAGTGGGTCACTCCTACTGAAATTAACCACTACATCGTGCTACTTTATACGTGTTCTATCTATGCTGAGAGCTGAAGGTTTATTTTCGATCTTATTTCCCAAATGGCTTGTTTCTATCTGCATTAAAAGCACGCGATGATTCGCAAACTTATAACGTTCTATTTTTAGATAGACTTAGATTTATTTTTGCTCGATAAAATTTCATTATGTATATAAGAAAAATAATTTTTAAAAAGAAAAAAATTTAACAGTTAAAAAATTCGAAATTTTTATTGCATTTTAATTTGCATACTTTTATTTTACTTCTGCGCATTGTTTATACTGTACACTAATGCATACAACTATGTTTTATTCGTAACGTGCATGTTCTAACAGGATAATTAGAATCATGTATACGGTTGACTCATCGTTTTTAATGAATGAATTATTACTGTCCATCTAAATGCACGTAAACCTTATATGTGCAAGAGTTAAACAGCACACCAAAATCTTTTACGAAATCTTTTATGCCAAGATTGTTATGCAAATTTATATAAACATAAAATATTATAGACACATGTAAAATATAATAAAATAAAATGAAAAAGCTGATATAATAAAAGAAAGTTAAAAATAGCTTAAATGTGTGATAGAACAAAGCAAAATAACGTTGAAAAACTTCACGAATTTCAATTTGATATATTTTGTCTTTATAGCTTACTTCCATTTTTGTATTTATCGAGTAATATGGGTCACAAAGATCAGAACTGTTCATGAACACTATAGACTTCTTTTCTACTACTACTCGCAAACGGATACTCGCGCTATTTAAGGCGCATACGGATATAAATATTCGTCTCATGTAAAATTTCTTAGCAGGATCCGGATTTAACGTGTTTTTGAGGAGGCGTTATATATGACGCGCCAACGCATCTTACGTAGAAGCGAGACGGAAGGCCGCCGTTAAGGCAATGTAATGTCACACGAACATGTAACCATAGACGAATACGGTACTGCTTTGAGCCAAAGAACCCACATCTCGTAAAGACTCTTGGAGAAACGCTTTTAACTGTAAACTTCTTGTACGGCAAAAAAAGAAAATAGAATATTCAGAGATATGGTATCTGGGTAGAACACAGAATCAGATGATATTAGAAGAATGTCATTATGATGACTAGTTGTCATTTAAAAATATCAAGTTTTTTATGTTAAATATTTTTTAATCATAGATTAAAATAAAAACCTATTAGGTAACTTCGAAATTCTTGGTCGATGATCTCACACATGTTTTTGTATGTCTTACACATCTTTTGGCCAAATGCGAAAATTATCTTTTATAAGATAATTTATATATTACCTTTTAATATCAAAATTATAATATGTTTGATTAATTATAAATTCTGTATATTACTTTGTAAAATATATTCAAATATCAAATTAATATCAAATTGTATTAAAAAAACAATAAACTAAATAAACAATATATTGATCAATTAATAACATAAATGTATACATTTATGTTGTACAATAACAGTTATTATACGATTCTCTAATATAATTAGTTTATATATTTAGATTAATTTATACAAAACTGCTTTTTCTGCTGAACGCAGCCATTGACAAATTTTCCATCCATATCATAAGGAAGGCATTTAAAGATCGAGATCAGTTAAATTGATGCGAGTGTCGATAATATAATTAAAGTTATCAGCCGTGCTTTTCTGAAATTATAAAACTTTTGTTAATTAAAATTTTATATTATAAAATTGTATAATTAATAAGAATTACTAATGAAATTCTATTTCATTTTTTATTAAATATTAGGTGTAGTAAAAAAAATCCATTATTTTTGCTTGAAATTGAATGGAAAACTAATGGATTTCTTTTTACTACACCTAATATTTGTATTTCACATGTACGTCCTAAAGATAATAAAGATTCTTATTGTTTATACTTAATTTCATTTTATTAAATACCTATATTTAACACAAAAAAATTATAAAATTTTTTCTTAAGTACAGTCTGATGTCATAAGCCAATCAGAGTTGTATTAGTATCTTAAGACATTGGCGGCGTTCAGTTAAAGTTTTTGAATATAATTCATTTTATACATTTAGATCAATTAAGGGCAAGACGAATTATATTAAAGAATTTTACAACAGTTGCAAAGCTGCTTTGTTCTGCTGAACGCAGCCATTACTTAAGACTCTTAAAATAAGAATATGAATACGAAGATAGGATTATTTCATGTTCTATACATATTTTTTTCCTTTTAAAAATTCTTTTGTTTTAATAAAAATTTTTCTGATTTTTTTGAACACAATACAAATAGAATTGGGAGGCGATAGTTCTCGCATCTCGTATAATATGTTCCACATTATCGATGCTAGCGTCAACACAATTAACGTCTTTTATTGAAAGGCCTTTCCGTTGCACGATAGACCTAGTTTTTCCTATATTCAGGACCGGTGCCCTTTCGGGGCATCTCAAGCGATTAAGCAGATTTGAAATTAACGGTCGAGACGGATTATTAAATTAAGTTAGCGTTAACCCAGAGCTGTCGACAAATCACGCCGTCGTAATTTTCAAAATTTTGTAAGTCGGAATTATTGTAGATTACATATTCACATTTGATATTTGAAAATACTTTGAATTATTGCAGATTTTATATAAGTATTTTTTATCTTATATGTATAATATAAATTTTGATCTATACATTTTTGGAATTAGGAATGTATTATACTGATTTCGTAGTAAATTATTATTAATCCTCGTATCTTTTTAGCACATTAAATAACTTTTTTCTATTAAAATCAATTTCTAATTTATGATTTATCCAAATTTTTCTCATTTACACGCAATAGAATAAAACAATAATCCGGATTATGTAAATCAATTTGTATCATTGTGGAAATATATATACATAATTTAAGATTTTGCAAACTGATTAAAAATTAAAAATTCGCTGAAGTATGTGAATTAAAAAAGAGAATACACATAACGAATAAAGGCTATTGTGTATAATCGCAAAGAATTCCGATCGACTATTCATTATTCTATTTTCAAGAAATTTTCTTTAGAATAAATTAGAAAATTTTCTACACAAATAAAATAAGACTATGTTCGATCAAAAGAGGTTTTGATGTCTAATATTTTGTGTGTATTTTACGATTTTAATTTCAGTTTCAATAAATTGCAAACGTCTATTATCGAACAATAAGAAAAAAAAATAGAAGTGGATCTCAAGTATTATTACGTTTAATTGTTCCGAAGGAAGTATATAAATTTATCAATAAACTAAATTAACATTGAAATCGCAATAAAATGCATCTCGTCGATTGAGAGATTGGGTTAAACTCGTGTCACACATCTTAGAGAATAAGGATTGCGAATTAGAGATTAGAATTTGATTTATCAGATAATTTTAATTCATTTCATTCTAATTAGCTGAATTTTAATTTTCAATTCAATCTTCAAATATACGAGCTTTAGAATTCTTGATATTCCGAATGCTGTTATATCTAACTAAGCATAGCAAAGCAATAATATTCGTATAATCTATTACATTAATCCTCACACCATTCCATTGGTTTTCTTTCATCAAAATCGATTTCTAATCTATGATTTACTCAGAGCTTTTCCATATACACGCAACTAATACAATAAAATAATCATTTAGATGCCGTATCAAAACTTTCAATACGTAACATAGGCTTTAAGATCCTTGATATTCTGGATGCTGTGAGATCTAAGCTTAGCAGAGCAACAATATATCTATATTCGTGTCATTTATTATACATTAAATACTCCTCATACCTTTCCTTATATCGAAATCGATTTCTAACCTATAATTTACTCAGAGCATTTTCATTTACGCATAACTAATGGAATGAAATAATCGTTTAGATTACGCAAAAGTGTAAATTATACAAACAATGGTTCCTCTTAAAATGCGGGGAATCGAAGCTACATGTTCCTCAATGATGTGTCAGTCTGTCGGTGAACGTCGGTGTGTGGTGGTGCGCAGATCATGAAGTTGACGAAGTAGATGCGGCAGCGGTGAACGGCGTACAGTTGGCAACGCTGCGTCGCGTCACTATGCGTCGCTGTCCGCGCATCGCAACTGCGAGGCAGTGGCGGCTCCGCCAATCAGCGCGCCGCTGCGCTCTCGTTTCCTCCCCCTCCACTCTTCTTCCGCTCTGCCCCCGTAGAAGCTTGAAAATCTGTAACGGACACCGCAACCGTCGCATACTCGTCTTCGGGCTCACGCAACGCGTTGGTCTCTGTACTTGAGTCAGTTCGATAGTAAAAGAAAAAAAAAAATAAGTCGCCGTCAGTCGCCGCATTAAGGTACTCAAGGCTCGCTTTCTCGAGAGATCACAAGTCGGCGAATTCCAAGAGCAACATGAGGGAAATCGTCCACATCCAGGCCGGCCAGTGCGGTAACCAAATTGGAGCAAAGGTAGGCTACTTTGAGAATCCGACTAAAAATCGATCACTTCTCTCGAATGAGAACCGTCGTTTGTTCTTTGTTCGCGAATTTCTAGCCTTCTAATGTCTTTCTAGAGTCTTCTAATACCCCTTCCATCAGTCTCGATTAATCTCCGGTTCACTCTTTATCTCTTTCCAATTCTTAGAACTGGAAAAGGTACAAAGTGAGAGTTAAACGGAGATATTAGAGCTAATCTAAATTGATAGAAATAGACACGAAGTATCTACCACCAGACAGTCGACGTTTCATCGTTCTTTACGGTACTCCGCTGGAATTTTGCGAGACCCATTATTAATGAAAAAGCGACGAATCACGCGATATACGTATACGTAAGAAACAAGGGCGTTCTCGATCGGGATCAGCGGTCGCTGTAGCCGCGCCATTTTTCTCACCGCTCGATATCGCGGCCGAGGAGAGCAACCGTCGGCGGAAACGAGGACGCGCCTCGGCGCTTATTTTCCCCGTTGCTAGCTGGGCGACACGCTGATACGACGAGGAAACGAGGCAGCCTCGCCCGCGCGGCGGTCGAAGACCTGTCATGGCGACAGGAGCTCGCCGGCCGGCCGGCGAGCCTAACGGTTTTTTCTCCTCCCTTCCCCTCCGATCTTTTTCTCTCTTCAAGTTTGTACAACCGCGTTCCTGTGCGAACGCGTCTCGTCGGCCATCTTCTCTCGGCCGTTTGTCTCCCCGTGGATAAATATTCCATGTACGTCGCGACGAAGGCAGAGAATTCACGGATAAATGGAGTTGGTCGTCGGTGACCGTCGCCGAATTTATCTGCCACTCGGCTAGGACCGACGGATCCCGAAACTGGGTGTGGCGAATCTCTATTCTCTTCCCGGTGATGAGAGAGAGAGATCGCCGTTCGTGACGGCCAACACCGCATCGACCGGTTGCGCGCGCATCTCTCCTCGCTTTTCATTCCGCCTGACATTCTCCGCTTTTCTGTCTTGTAATAATAAGTACTTTGTCGGTCTACAAATGCTGCTCTCTATGTACGTGAAAAATATGCGAGACATTTGGTTTTTGTGATAAGAAATGAATCGTGTTCTGGATGTTCTCTTTCTCTTTCTCTCTCTCGATGCAGCTTCGATTTTATATCGTGAATAAAATCGGTGTCGTAGCTTTCATTCTTGTACGTCCATCTTTCCTCTTCCCCCTCTCTTCATCTCGTTCAGTCTGGCGTATGCTAAAGGTTGAACTCACACCGAATTTATGAATACTGATCGTGATGAGATATGTGAGTTGATTAGCAGGGAGTTGATTATGCATCTTGAAATGAGATGAAAATTACAAAAGTGAGCGAAATTTATTAGAATATTTATAAATTTATTAGTCAACAAAGTAAATTTATTCACTTTTGTAATTTTCTCGTTTTAGAAATATCCAAGCGACCTTCTGAATATGTATATGTAGAATTATTCCGAATTAATTCAAAATTATTCCATTATATCTTACATTTCTGTTGTTTTTTTTTTGTTTAGGAAAAATGAAATTCTGATCGGAATTCGTTTCGAATAATTCCATAATATGTACTCTATTCTTTTTCGAAGAAAGGATTGAATTGAAGATGGATTGTGTATCTTAAAATGCGAGAATTGCAAAAGTCAGCAATGTCAGATGTTGATCAATGAATGGAATTATAAATATTCTAGTAAATTCGCTTGCTTTTATAATTTTCACCTCGTTTCAAGATAAATAAGTGTTCCTTTTGTGTCTACTTGTGCGTATAAGGAATGAAATAAATTTATTTATTCTATTTCAATCCTTATTGCATTAATGTATACTGATTCAGAATTTTCGTTGAAAAATCATAGGCTGCTTTTTTTAAAAAAGAAATTGAAGAAGAATTGTATTCAGATTCCTACCACACAAATATTTTATCAATGTTTAATATTGACAAGGATTAAATGTGTGTGTCTAATCTGTAACTCTTTGTTATCATTATATTATCGCACTTATATTATGCACTTTTTATATTCATGTAACGATATCGACACTGTCATTAAAGTCTGGTTTTTCATTTACTGATTAACTTGTGGTTAGATTTAACCCGATAATAATATAAAATTTGTATTTTTCTATACATGTTTACACATTATTTAATAATAATAACTAATAATAATAATAACTATAATAACTGGTTTTGCTACGAATAATTTTTGAAGTTACTACAAAACTATTAGTTTAATGGTTGATCGTAATTGGAAAAATACTATTATTATTAAGTGAGGTTAAATCTAAATTATAAATTAACTAGATAATGAAAAATCGAATATAATGTTCATTTCTATCAAGTCTGTAGATTAATTTTAATCTCGGTTCAATTTACCTCTTTTTCTTATTCTTAAAACAAGAAAAAGATTAAAGAGTTAGTTGAACCGAGATTAAAGTTAAACTGCATTGATAGAAACGGATATAGTTCTAAGAATTAGAAAAAGATAACCAATTATTCCGAGATTAAAATTAATCGACATTGAAAATTAGAAATTGACATAATATTGAACATTCAGGTGGAAAATCTAAATACACCCTAGGAGACATAGTCAACGCAAATATTTTATCTTTGCTATTCATTGAATATCAAGAAGGATAAAACGATATTTGTGTCGGTTATTTTCTAAAAGTGCTAAAAAAAGGGAAAGATCGTAGCTAATCTTCACTTCACATGATTGTAGAAAATGTTATTGCATTCGATCTTTACGAAGCCTTCAGCTTTCAGGTTTTCCATCTAGTGGCACCGGGATTTGTGAGAATTGTACATTGCGCTCCGGTGTGCACGCTCCTTCAAGCAGATGAAATTCCTGCGCCGCGTCCGTTGGCCGCACAGCGTCACGATCGCGTTTAACGGCCACGCCAGCGTCGGTTGCATGGCGGGTGTATTTTAAAATTTTTATACGACGCGCCGTTAACGGACAGCCGACGAGCGCGTGGCACTGCGTTATCGACACGCTCGGATTAACATTTGTTAATCGTGCGAATCGGTGTCTCCGTTTGTTCTATGTGCACGCGCCTTTATTCTCTTTTTGTTGTCTCATTTCTCTTGCTGACTTATCGATCTCTCTCCGGTATTATTTTTTTCTTTTTTTTTTAAACTTTGAAAAATATCGCGTTGATAGAAACTCAAGATTCTGATTACTAATTTGATGCGCTAACTTCTACATGAAAAGAACAATTTTACTGAACCTATTTAAAAGTTTGGCTAAATACAAATCTGAAAATAACTTTGTTATACTATTAAAATAATTATGTACACAATAATACATATAATAAATATACCGTACACAAGTAATAATTACTTGTTTCAAATGTTTCGAAATATATTCGCAAATTTATCACATAACTTAATCAAATTCATTCAAAATATATTCTTATTCTAGTAAGTTTAATACTTTAATCAAGATTATATTAAATTAAAATAAATTCGCTTATATTGCTAGAGTCGCTTTTTCGATTAATTTTATAATATTCTATAATAAAGAAAATTCTTGTCTAAGTACATAATGAATTTTTCTAAAATTTATGACAAATATATCTTGAGATTTTCAAGAAACTATTTATTATAAAGATAATCGTCACTTAAAAGGAACAAAGTAAATTGAGTAATCCATAGAATGATTTTTTTGTGTGTGTAATAACTTCAAACATACTAGACAATATTGCAAAAACGATATTCTAGCAATCACACAATTTGAGCGTCTTATATTATATTTTGATGTTCCAACAAAATTATTTTCAAATCCATATCTAGCTAAATTCATACTTCAACAAAATCATTCTTTCCGTGTACAACCCCATTTTAATTTGATTTGTTTGAATTTCTGAAGTTTCATTTTTTCTGATTACTAGTTTAGCATGATTTTTTTTCTTTTTACTTGAAAATTAAAACGATAAATATTTAATATGTTGCTACGAATGGAAATTAGAAAAATAATATTCAAATTTTTATATATAAATTTTTGACGTAAAGATTATGTAAGAAGACACAAATATTTATAATGTAGATCGATCTTTAATACTAATGTTAAGTTATCATCTTATCAGAATAATCGACGATAAAAACTGCACGAGAGTAGGTAAAGATCGAAGAGAAGCTAATCAATGTCGTCATGCTTCCGTAATTTTTAAGGCTGCTGCACCAAGTCAATGTCCGTTTCTCGAGCTGTCTATCTCAATCGATCCGACGTCATGGTAGCGTAACATCAAAGGCTATTTTTTATCCTCTTTTTTTATAACAGACTCCTAATAATGAGAACGTATCGATTGAACGGAAAATGTTTTCTTGAGTAACTATTATCGTGATTAACTCTGCACTTTTTTAATTTTCAACTTATCAGAACTCGAGATAAAGTTTATTTGATAAGCGAATTATTGCTAAGGGTGTAAAGCGTAAGTATGTAAAGCGATAGAAAAAATAAATAAATTTTAAAAGTCTTTTCCAAAACAAGATGTATCTTTTAATTTCAGAAATTTTTGTAGAAAATAAAAGTAAAACCTATCAAATATTACGTACTGATGAAATATTAAACATTTTATTACTCCAAGTTTTCAATTTGGAAAATATTATAAATTTTCTGTGAAATATGCCAGAAGAAAATAGAATGATGTTTATTGAAATAAGATGCTTTGAAAAGAAGCTTGTACTCCCCGAAAAATATTTAAAAAAATTAAGGCAAAATTACTGTGAAAATGATAACGCAGGAGCTACTTTCTACTACGCGAGCTTGTTGTATAATCCATTATACGAATGCTGCTCATTCAACAACGCCTTCGAGTCCAAGGACACCGAGTCTCGCGTAGCACAGCAACGCGCTCCCAAATAAAGGAAACCAGCGATATCCTCTCGCCATTTTCCTTCGCATCACTTCGGCCCGTTTCGAACCGTTTCGCTCATTGCCGACACAACCGGCTCCCTCTCTCTCTCTCTCTCTCTTTCTATCTCTCTCTCTCTCTCTCTCTCTCTCTCTCTCTCTCTCTCTGGATATAGCCAGGTGTATCGATCGTGTCGGGTCGCAAGGCTGGATTTTGTCTACTGTCGCGACTCAATGATGATTACTATTTTATGATTCAATTTTTTCACATTTTAGAGTATTGAAATAAATTTTATGGTGAAATAAATATAATTGAAGTCGTTAATAATATCTCCAATCGCCAATTGATATCTTCTATGAAAGACAATCAATCTATCAGTATAGTATTCTGTAAGATGGAATGTAAAATGTTTAATATTGCTTTAAAATATGTA